GGTTGGCTGCTGCTACTGGACGCGACTTTGGTGGCGACGGTGGTGGCCGGGGTCGACGATGAAAGCTGCAAGGCTGTGGCTTTGAGCTCACAGCGAAGGGACGATTAGGCACAGCAGGTACATCGGCCGATTTCAAGGAAAAGATGGAGCTTTGGGGTATAGAGCTCACCCAAACTATAGGAAGGTAGGGTGATAGAGGTTGTGGCGCTGCTGTCCGGTGAGGTGGTCGGCGCCGTGGTCAGTAGCTTCAGCTCCTGGCCCATGGCAGTGGCGAGCAGGGGTGGCTTCCCGATGCGGAGGAGGATGACAGTCTGTCGGAGAGGTGGTGTTGGTCGCGGTGGTTGGGGGCCACGGTGAGCAGTAGGAGGCCGGCATGGTCTACAGCTCCGGTTCCTGGCTCCTGGCGGTGACGAGCAGAGGAGGGCGGCGACGAACGTGCTCGGTGGAGATGATGCAGCTCGGCTCCAACATCTAGGCGGGGCAGGGCACGGCCATGGCAGGCTCGTGGTCGGCCGAGAGCATGGCAGCACAGGGAGCAAGACGGTCAGGAATGGCAATAGAAAGGGTATAGACGAAAGCTTGGTGTTGGAGGCTCACCGGCGGGCGAGGCTCGGCGAGGAGGAGCTCGGCGGCGGCGAGGTCGAGCTCGACAGCGCTAACGAGGAACACTGACAGCAAGGAAGGGCGCAGCTTGGTCGTGATGCGGAGCACCTGCTCAGTGAATAGAGCAGAGGCGCGGTGAATACAAAGCAGGGGCTTGACGGAGACGTGGCTCGATGAAGAGAAAGCCGAGCTCATGGTTCTGCTGATGAGGAGCTGGCGGCGAGGAAGGATGTCCGCCAAGGCTCAGGTGTGGGCTTGGCGTGAGGAGGAGGCAGAGCGCGACGTGGACAACGTCGAGGTAGGCACAGGAGGACAAGGCGAGGCTTGGCGCTGCTTCGATGTGCTGCAGCGGTGGAACACGATGTCACGGCGTGACGTGGGCACGACGGTGCGGTAAGGAGCGTCGACGACATGGGGCGAGCGGGGAGGAGCTCGTGGTGCAGGGGCACATTGTGGAGGTTGGCGAGGTGGAGGTGGGCTCAGAGGCGTGAAAGAGGAGGTGGACGCGGAGGCGCTGTTGTGGTGGCTCGGTCGGTGGCGAGCGGAGCAGCGACAGGCTGGGCTGGTGTGGTGGCCGGCAGCGGCGAGTGGAGCTACGGCCATGGCTAGCTTAGGGTTCGGTGCTGTGGAGGGGAAGAAAGGGCGACAATCCTCGTCGTCCGTGAAGGAGCGAGGACACGCGGCGCACATCTAGCGGGCGGTGGTACGGACGCCGAGGCAGGGCACGGGGCGCAACTGCACGTCGAGCGAACGGCGGCGGCGGCTGAGGGTAGGGGCGAGTGGCTCCTAGGGTTTAGGCGTGGGCGTGCTTAGCTGGTGGGCCCACGGGGGCTGGCGACCGAGCCTACGGGGCTCCTAGCTGGGCTAGCAGGACGGTGCCGCTGCTGGCGCACGGGGAGGTGGCGAGGTCGAGCTGGGCCGAGGGAGGGAGCGTGGGGCAGGCTGCCCTGGTGGTGGCTTGGGCCAGCACGAGGGGGAAGAGGTCGGGCAGGCCAGCGGGAAAGAGAAAAAGGGAGGGGAGTTGGGCCGCTTGAAGGGAGGAGGAGAAGGGTTTTGACCCAAGAGAATGGAAAAGGATTTTTAGATGGAACCAAAAGGAATTCGGGAAGGAATTCGAGAGGGAATTCAAAAGAGATTTGGGGCGAATTTCAAGGGGGATTAGAATAGTTCAAGGAGAGAAGGAAAAGGATTTTTCCTTTATGAATTATGACTCAGGGGATTGGAAGTAATTCAAGAGGAGGGAAAAGGATATCCCGATTCCTTTTTGGGAAAAGGTAGGAGTGGTTTCCCATGTATGATTCGAGGAACTTGAGAGATTCGAAAGGGATTTTGAGGGGACTTTGCTAGGGCTTTGTGCACTCCGAACAAAACACAAAACCCGAAACCGATTCAAGAACAAGGCACACACCTACAATCAAATCTAGATGGATGCAATGGTTTAGTGGTAAATTCTCCTAGGTTTGACTCAGGTTGGACCTAGCGAGTACATGATTCACACACTGCAGGAAAAAAAATTAAAAAGCTCGTATTTTTTGTTGCACGAAAACCCGGATTGTTACAGTGAGCCGGTTCCTTAGAGGTGGCCTGGGGCAGCATGGAAGCCAGCTGGTTAAGGGGTCAAGTCAATGGCAGCTCACCGCTAGAGCTTTGATGCTGCTGCGCGATCGCACGTGTGCCTTGCCTTCTCATGCCACATATTGCATTGATTTCAGCAAGTTGATTTACTGATTCCAGGTGGTTTGCACTTTGCAACAGATCTGGTACACACAAAAATTTCTGCTTTCATACACTGACACACATAATTGTTTTCCTTTCCTTTCCATTTTATTTGTAACTATCAAACGTATCCATGCCTTATCACGAAACATGCATCTTGTTATGTGATCACCGGAATGAGTTTTAGTTCGGAGATTCATGTAACGATCATGTCATATGTTCTAATATGTATTGAAATCGGACTTCATATACCGTTGTTGCACGTCTAATTATTTGGTATGCCAATATGTTTTGTAGGTCATATTCATCCTTTTCGTATTTTTTATGCTTGATTTCACTAAATACATAAAGAATCACTTGTGATGGCACTAAGATGAAGCAAATTGCACATTAGAGTTCACCATGACATAGCCCTCGTTGATATAGTTGAAATGGATATATAGATCGTCTAATTCGGTTCCCGAATAACAAATTTATGATGATAAAAATCTAAAATCAGACCACCTGGTTTTCACAAACCATGTCATCTAGTTTTGTCTTTCAAGTCAATAATTGATTTTAGAATACTGAGATCATAGTTCTGAGTTGGTCTGTAATAAGTTTTGTGCATGAAATACATCCTTCCTATAGACAAGATCTTCCTTCCCTATTAAATATAAAGGGCCACTATCAATTGAGGACATCCAACCAAACCAAAACCAATCTACTATTATTGTACTCTTCCAATCTCGATATGTTGTTCATCCTCTGGTCTCAATGATCAGAGATGGTGCCATAGTCTTGTGATTGGACATGACGGGCCAATGATGCACACGATGGGTCCCTACTGAACAAGTGCTTGGATGGCATTTGCTAATTTGCTTGTAAACTAGTCGTTCGTTATTGCAAGCATGATATTACCATTTGTTGGTCCATTTGTAAACCTAGTTGTTTATGTAATCATGAGTTATCGCTTCTCTGGTGCAATCTAAGAAAACTACGTTATTTGGTTTTGGCGGACAATGCTACGAGATTTATGTGACCAACATGTCCAAGTGCTTTGGTGTTTAGCCATCTTAGCGCTAACAGCCACTTCTTCCAAATTAGGAGGAGGTTTGTTATACTTGGGTCCTGTTTGGCAGGGTCTTTTTGCAAATAGCTTCACCTGTATGGTCTAGTAAAAAAAGCTTATCTGTTTTATGGTCTAGTAAGGCTTCACCTAAAAGGCCAGAACTAATAAAACTGCTCAAAAGAAGCCCTACCAAAGAGGATCTTTCTTGGTCTATACCCCTTTTTACAGCACTATTGTAACCAAATGATTTGAGTCCCATTAACTCATGATCCTAGGCCTAGTAATCAACCACCCCAAGCATTTGGTTAGTGTGCTTATTGTAAATGAGTTGTTAGGAGTATATTTCTACCTCCAAACCAAAAGGGTTGGAGGGGTTGAGGAGATTTAATCCCCTACAAGTCAAAATCCCTCTCAATCTCCTCCAAACCCCTTGGTTTGGGGTAGAAACGAACAAACCATAAGGCCATGTTCGGTTCCCAGGGAATCACCCCCTGGAACTAATCCTGCCAGGAATGCTTTAGTAAATTGTATAGCTAACTTTCACCATGATTGATTCGTGCTAGGAATAGGCTGAAACGAACGAGCCCTAAATGAGTAGCACCGTACCATGTATCTGAGCACTCATTTATAAATGTAAGGATTTCAATATATGCTTGAACCCGTAACTTTTGACCCATACAGCCTGTTCGCTTGTTGGTTTCAGCCAGTCCAAATCAGCCAGCCAACAGTGTTTTCCTCTCACAAAAAACCAGCACCAGCCAGTCCAAACCAGCACCAGCACCAACCAGCGAACAGGCTGATAAAATGCACCACCTACAGGTGGATTTAGTAGTATTTACCTACAACCATGATTCCTTCTTAAAAAAAGAATACCATCAGCATAGCATTGTGCAACCTCACAAAAATATTGTAAATAAAATCACAGTTGAAGTTCAGTTTAGAGTACAGTGCGAGTCAAATGGCCGTTTCTAGATAGAACAAAATGTCAGTTCAATTAGTTGTTGCTTGCAAGCAAACAGCTCGATTTGCAAAAGCAAGAAAGGCATGATTGCGACGGCCTGCATAGAACAAGCCACTATGGCCGCGATGATTGCAACGCCCCCCTATTTGCGAAAGCAAGAAAGTCATGATTGCCAAGGCGGGAGTGCATAAAGATTAAAGAGCCGGCACAACTTTTTTCCCTTTCTCGAAATCAATTGTTTTTATTTTGTATAATCTTCTGAGTGTTTAAGACCACTGAAGCCTAATGCATGAGCCAAAATGACCTAATTTGATTTGGAAAAAAAAAAACATAATCAGAGCAATTTTGAAATAAGCTACCGAAACAGTTCAACGAGCTTTTTAGCTTTTTATCCAGCAGTACCACGGCGCTCCTATTGGTCCACGTAAAAAAAAAAAATTTCAACGGATCAGATATTACACGCAAACTTCAATATAATAATTGGAAAAATAGAGATGGCACAGAACAAAACTTGCAAACCATTATCCTGGTTTCAGTTACACCATCACTTTGCACTAAACATGTGCATCTACCCAACCATATGGAACTGAATTTCTTCAGCAGAACACATCACATTACCAGTTTTACCACAGATCACGTTTCACATACTCATCTTCAGTTTCTGGCTTCCTACTTCTTTGATTTAGATTGATCGCCATCTGCCTTCACTATGTTGAGGTCACCGCCCTCTTTGCTAGCAATATTCGCAGCTTTTATTTCGTTGCACTGGTTGATGAACTTGGTCAGTTCCTGCAAAGCAAAGAAATTCGTAGGTCCAGCTAAGAGCACAATATATGAAATAAGTTCAGTTAGTAGCAGGCTACATAGGTTCCTTTTCGAAAAGGAGGTTACAGATGTTTCATAACCTAAATTGAAACACTATTTGTGTACCTAAACAAAAACATAGATGTCCACAAACACACTGCAGTACATATCAAAATATAAAATTGTGTCTAGATCTGCATTACTTCTAATTAATTAGGTTAATAGTAAAGCTAAGCATGGAGGGACCATTGAAAAACAAACAAGGTAGAATATTGGACCTTTGTAAAAGAAAAAGGGATGTCGAACCAAGGTAGTTCGAGGTGACCATGACTAAATGAAAAGGAAAAAACACTGCTCATCAGACTAAATATATGCCTGAGTGAAGTAGTACCAATCCCTGAGTGTATATGGGTACCCTGCACTATATGTTTAACAGGAAAACTTCTATGAATTACCTGCTAAAATGCTGGGGAACTCATTAATACTATTGAAACCCACAGGAATTTGGAATACAAGATTTGAATATAAATTCATAGTTGAATTACTTTTGGTTCAAGATTGCAGTTTCCAAAAAATGTATGTGCCATTTATCACAGCCAGAATACAATGACATTAAATCATATCTGACTGACAAAACTTGGCACCAGCAAAACGAAAGAAGCATCTCTGCAAGACTAGATCATTGGCTGACAATGACCCTTGCAGGATAATAGGATTTGCATTAACTATTGTACTGGCAAATGATATGACTAAAATACCATCCTCACTCTTATATAATAAAATAATAACATGTATGATACCAAATAAGTATCATTAGATTCTTCATTAATCAAATTTTCATAGTATACTTATTTGATATCATAAATCTTTGTAATTCTCTCTAATTTTGGTCAAACTTAAGATGCTTTGACTCAGTCCAAGAAAGTTGGAATGACTTATAATTTGGAATGGAGGGAGTAGATCATTGGCTGACAATGACCCTTGCAGGATAATAGGATTTGCATTAACTATTGTACTGGCATATGGTATGACTAAATTCTAGAAAATATTAGATCATAAAAGGTTGGCCACATGGATCCCATGCAACCTATTTCACAGCAGTGGGAGTAGTTTACAAGAAACTAACAGATGTGGTTATAATTGACCAAAATGTATGTTCCAACTTTCAAGTTGCAATCATGATAAAGCTAGCAACAGACACTATTTTGTTGTTAAAAACAGAAGACTGATACTAAAAAGAATCTGCACTATGGCACAATCAAAATACCATTGCACGTGATAATACATAGAACAAACCAGAACTAGATTGATTTATAATGCTAACACAAACACAACCACTAACCCAGTTCTAAAAAAAAATGAGTGGCCTATGCTCTGTACGATCCTCTCTTAAAGAATGATTGAAAAATTGGTACAATCTTAAAGAATCAACGACAAAACATGCTAATTGACACTCCGTTCCAAATTATGTCGTTTTTGGCTTTTATACTTATAATTTGGAATCAAGGGAGTAGGAAACAAAACACGGTCATGGAAACAAAATTGAACTGACAACCATCCTAGTCAAATTGAACAACTAGGGTAGCTACGACACACCCAATTAAACTGAATCATCTAAACACCCAGTTTCACTGAAACAATACAAACCAGAGCAAGGATTTCGATTAATCTTAATCTTGTGTCGCAAAGGAAGAAGACAAGTGCCGATTGACACAGGCGTTTGCTAGTTCTACGCTGTACTACGCTCGCGCTCTCATAGTATACCTTGTCGGCGTCCATGTCCTTGGTGAACTTGGTGGGCTTGACGGCTCTCTTCCCTGCAACAGCGAGTGGCAAACCGATCATTCAAGCAAACAATCAAACAAATCACCACTGAAGAGCAGCACACAAAGACAGCCCGATCTAGTACGCCGGGCGCCGCAGTCGATTCCCCCACGCGTACCTTTACGAACATGGGGCGCCTTGCCGTGGCGGTTGGGAGGGATGGTCTTCTTCTTGCTCTGCCCCTTGAACAGGGTCTGCTTCTGCGTCATCTCCGTCCTCTCCTGTTGCACGCCGACGCCTGCGTTGCTTCGCTACTGGGATTTCCGACGGAAGCTTCGCGCCTTTCCGCCTCTACGGAGCCTCTGCTGCTACTTGAGATCGCCGCCACTACGGTGGGGGATGCCGGATGCGCCGCCACCACCTAGGGTTCTTCGGCAGTTCGGCTTGGGAGAGCAGTCGTGGCCTTGTGTGGGCCGGAGAAATTAGCATTATGGCTTGTGAGGCCCAAATCGTTGATATCGATTAGCCCAGGCGTCCTAAAATCCTCTAGAAAGAAAATCTTACGCATTGGTGAAGTCTATTTAAACCTCGTTAAACTGTTCCTATCTCAATCGTAAAACCCGAGTTTGGCTCCTCCAACTTTTAAAACCGTCCGATTTAATTATCCGTGCGGTTTTGAAAGTAATTTTCAATGACATGGCGTCACGTCAACTATTCTACGTGCCACGTCAACCATAAGAGAGACAAATCAATCTTTTCATGATAGTTCATGAAGGTCAATTAAACTTTATAGAAAACTATAGATATATTCTTTTAAAAAGTATCTAAATATTTTCAAGAAAATAAATATGCATTTTAATATACTAAAACTAATTTAATGTTGAAAATTCATAAAAAATATTTAAACTTAGAAAAATATGAAACTGGTTTTATATTTTCCTAAAATCATGAATCCTCTATTTTTTGCAGTTCGGGAATTGTAGACATTTTTTGCAGTTTATTACATGGTGGCTCACGCGGTGACTCAAACTTATTTATCTTGGTATGCATCGTCTATTTCATATTTTGCCTAGGTTCAAATTTTAGGAGACCATATAAGATTCAAATGATTCTAAGCAATGAACAAAATGGTAGAGCATAATTTTAGAAAAATGTGAAACTAGCATCATATTTTTCTAAACTCAAACAATTTTTTTCTAACATTAAATCAGATTTTAGTATTTTTAATGCATATTTATTTTCTAGAAAAAAATATTTGGATGATTTTTGAAAAAATATTTCAATGTTTTTTATAAATTCTAATTTACCTCCCTGAACTATCACAAAAGTCAAATTTACCTCTCTCATTGCTAACGTGGTGCCATATAGGACGGATGACGTGGTGCCACGTCAGTGAAAACCGCTTTCAAAACTGCTCACAGAGATAAATCGGGCAATTTCAAGAGTTGAGGGAGTATAAACATCTGGCTTTCCAAATAAGGGAGGCAAATCCGGCCCTGCTTCTCCGGCGTCACTCTGACGCTGCAGGAGAGGTGTGCCTGGTCCTCAGACGGTGGCTATTGTGTAGATTAGTTAGTATGATAGTAGTATTTTAGGTTCTGAAATGCTATATAACACATGTGTTTTAGAACCAAACAATACATTGATTTTTTTTATCTATGACGTCTAGGGCCCACATATCATAACCGGCGTGCATGGAGGCACCACGCCTATGCCTCCCCGGCCTGCTGCTCGCGCTGCTTCCCTGCTGCTGCCTGCTGCCCCGCGCGGCCCCGCAGTCCTCCCAGCCAGCGGCGGACGAGGCGCAGCTGCTGCTCCAGATCAAGCGCGTGTGGGGCGACCCACCCGTGCTCGCCGGATAGAACGCCTCGGCCACGGGCGCACGCTGCGCGTGGCCATATATGACGTCTAGGGCCCGCGCCGGCCATGGCAGTGGCGGCAGCAGATCCGGCTCCAGGTAGGCCTCTCCTCCTCCTCCTCTGTGATCTGTGATTTGTCTTTTCATAGAAAAAATTGTTTCTTGTGATCTGTGATCTGTGGATTTATGATCTTGTGATTTGTGATTGTCTGGATGTAGAAGAAGACTGGAGGCTGGAGGTAGAAGAAGGATGGAAGCTGTTCGATTTTAATTCTATGGTGCAAAAAAATTCATATGTTAAAACTGCATAAAATACATGGTTGTGTAGTAGACAGACTTAGGTTTAAGTGGTTGTTCGATGGCATCTTCTGATATGCCTATTGTCTACTCCTCCCTCTAAGCGATCTCAGATGACATCTGCTTTAGCAGATCTATCTCTGGTGGCTCTCCTGTGAGGTATGCGTACTACTTATCCGTGGAATCATGTTGGTGTTGTTGCTCGCGCTTCGGCGGTTCTATCCTCCTGTTGGATCGTTTTCTTGTCAGGTGGGTCAGAGATGCCTGCGATTCTTGAGGCGTCAGATTCCATCATCATCGGCGATGTAAGGCCTATTCGTTCAACGTTTCAAGAGCGTATCGAGTTTGATATGCTGTTTGTGGTGCCGTTCAAGAACTATAAAGTTTCTACGTCGAGAATGGTGTCGGCTTCAAGCTGCAAGCTCGACACGTTCTTCTGCTTCTTCATGCAACAGTGGTCTGCCGTGTGGCTCATACGATTGCCGATGAAAAAAGACAGCCGGGAGATCTTGCAAGGACTTGAATGTATTTTTTACTTTTCTCAAGGGTGTCTTTGTAAGGAAGCCAGTGTAACACTCTATCCTATGTGAAATAAAACCCGGTTCCTCAAAAAAAAATGTACGCGCATGTATAAAAGAAATGTTCCACACTAACATGCATCAAAAGGCTATGTTCGTTTATCTTATAATCCGTATTTTTTTGCTTGTCTTTTTAGCCGGAACATTGTTTTTCTCTCACAACAAATCAGCCGGAACAGTGTTTCAACTTGTTTTTTTCAGTGAAGCGAATGGGGCCAAAAACAATATTCAATATAGAACAATTTTATACATGTTAAATTGCCCCTATCATTCTATCAAAACCGACTCATTTTCTCCTTTTTCTTTTTCACCACCAGAAACATACTTTACTGATGATATGATAGTGCTGAAATTTAGAAAAACAATTGAGACAACCACCGGAGAAAGGGCTACGCAGTGTTGGAGGCGTAGTAGAGAGAAGACAGAGCACTGGAGTTTGGAGGTGCTACTCAGAGGCTATGTAGTACTGTTTTAGCCTCACCGAAGAAAAGACACTTCAACGGTCAGCAACGCCTCCAGATTTCTCAGGTGGCTTCACCAGAGTTTTCCGATGGGTACCGAACGAGTGCAGCCCTTTTGCCAATTGCTCTATTTGGGCTGGAATCATACCATACCAAGGAAGCAATACGTGAATGAAGTCGATTCTCTCAAACCACAATATATCATCTAATCGTTAAATTTCTTCATGTTTGAACATTATCAAGCGCACATTTCAATTTGTATTATGGCGCTTGAAAACTACACTTAACCTGTTCCAAAAACATTGGGGTTAATCCTCATCTTTCCTGGGAAACTTAAAATTAGCAACAAGATGATGACGGCATCATGAGCTCACGGTCGTATCCATCTTGGAGGCTTCTTCGATGCCCTTGAAGGCCACACGGAGCTTCCTCAATGAGGACACTTTCTTCCCGTTGTTCTCTGCCATGCCCGTGGCATGGACAGTGGTGTATGGGACCTCTTTGAGGAGCTCAAACATGGGAACGCTCAGGCTTTGGCCGTGTCATCTGCTCCAGCACCTCCGGTGACTGCATGTACAGGTTGTTACCTTCGCGCGTCACGCTGGCTTTTGACATCCGCAACGTGGGGTGCTCTTTAAGCATCTTGATGAACTGTCAATCAGGCAACAGGCTTTAGACAGATCAAACAGCAGATAAATAAAGTGGTTACAGGGAAATGTTTGCATAAATGTGTGCAAACCAACCATTTAGAGTCACCCTTAACTCCTTGAGCTCATATATAACATTCACCGGTAGAGAACGGAGCTTTACTTCCGGTGGGGAACCTCCTCTAGTCCCGGTTCTCCACCCGGGAGCAAGTATTCGGGACTAAATGGAGTTCGGATTAGGAACCGGGACTAAAGGGGACCTTTAGTCTCGGTGGGTAACACCAATCGGGACTAAAGGTGTCTCCTGACATGCCACGAGGCCGGCACCCTTTAGTCCCGGTTGGTATATCAACCAGGACTAAAGGTTATTTTTTTCTTTTTTCTTTTTTTTTTTTTTTTTGTTTTCTTTTCAAAATAGGTTTTCGAAGTCGTATTGTATGCTGCTAATAATACATTTATACGCGCGTATAGTATGTTTCGGTTCAAGCACAATGAACGTATTAAATGACACAATTCATAGAACTATATATATATATATATATGCATGCATGCATATGTGTATTTTACATTATATTATTTCATGTGTATATATTACAAAAGATTGCATTACGGTTGTTGTGATATAACAAGTTTCCTCTCATCCTCTAGCTTGGCTTCCATGGCAGTGTTGGGTCGAAGTAGAACTCGCCCTTGGAATCGATGACCTGGTCATTAAAAAATCCGGCTATAGACTCTTGAATTGCTTTGAACTGGTCTTGCCGTATGACCTTTTCCTCCAACCATCGAACCTACAGGTTTGAATTAAAGGAAAATAAATTAATATATGTACATACATATATATATATAAAGACATAGTAACACAATCAATAATAATAATTAAATGAATATATAGTGTATTTTTAACGTACTTTGAGTCTCTCTGTAGAAGTTCTTTGGGAGACCTGCTTGATAAACTCGCAAACATAGTAACCATAGTAGTTGTTTCCCTGTTCCTGCCTCAGACACCACTTTACGAGAAAAATATTTGTTATCCAATCTGGTGATCCGGTGAAAGCTATATGTTTAATTAATAAAGATAATGCGATTTATGGGACTTACTTTCAAAGGGATTACATTCAGTGGCGCTTTGCATTTTTCCATGTGTTGCTTCTCAATAAAGGTTTTCCAAACACTGCCCAATAAAAAATTTGCCACGTCATCAGATATAGTTAATCATCATATGTTTGTGTGTATATATAGTTGCTAGAGATACCGAAATTACCTCTGGATAATATCTATCATATCTTGGTAGTCTTGTTGTGGTTTTCTCATCGAGTCATAGATTATCAAGTGACTTTTCACTAGATCGATGTCCATCAATATCCAGTGATTGCTGCATGTGTTTATACGATATAACGCATAGCACTCATTAATTAACTAGAATCAACA